CATGTCAAGACCATATTCTTATGAAATTGTTGAAGTCTCAAGGTTCGACTACATGAATTCCACTTAATACATTCAATTGGATTTGCACTGCAAGCCCATAGTGTCAATCTCATTCATGAATTTCATAAATACAAATTTCTCCTCAAATTCCACGTCCAAATTTTTTGTCCTACCTGTAGATCGCTCACCATGATTTTGAATAGATCTAGGTGAAAATTAGAGTCGGGATTGTGAACCATCTATCTCCAAATGTTTGAGAGGGACTCTGAAGTGGAGGAAGACGACGAAGGTAGTTCTTCTCACTGTGATTAGGTCATTGCAATCAATCTAAGAAACCCTTGCCGTCGCCTGAAATAAACATCGACAATTTTGAAAGCAAGAGTGGAGCTTTCATTAACTTCATGTTAAATAGAGACCATACTTTTGCTTTCTCATGAGAAGCTAATTGCATGACTCGGCGTTTAAGAATAACCACGTCAGAGAAGGAACTTTTCCAAGAAAAACATGGGCTGAACTGAACTTCCGCAGATGTAGCTGCACACAGCTTTCAGCATTTCTTGGTCCAAGAATCCCTTTCAACATTCATCCACAATGCTGCAGTTGAACCCTCTAGAAACCTACATATCAATTGCGGATCCACAATCATATAGCGAAGTAAACTCTCCTCCTTGAGCAGAAATCACAAATCCAACTGCGCGAACATGAAACTTCGGCCATCCATGAGTAAACTAGACAATACAAGCAAAGACGTCAAGGATGGAGGAGGATTCAATTGCAACCCCAATTAGACTCTCATAACCTAATGCAGAGTTCACAGTTTTATTGATAGTTGAGCTGACTGTTCACAAGTTCTGAGTACTTCTGCTTCGTCGTTCAATAACTCGATCTCTTCCACTTCAATTACAATGCCTAATCCTCTAAACCGTGTTTATTCTATATGGCCAATAGTACAAACTGTCTGAAGCTTGCGGAACAATCCAATCTAGTTCTATTGTTTTTTGATATACATATATATATATATGAAAATTTCAATTTAGGGCAGAATCGTAATTTCATTACCTTGTCATGATCATTTGTCGCTATTTCGCAGATGGACACCTGCGATTCACTATAATACTCACCACCACTACGACATCTATTCCAGCGCTCATGCTCCCTCCATGCCATCATAGCGCCGTGTCTGTGATAACGATTGCGGATACTTTCCTCCCTTTCACATACTCCACCTCAAACTCCACACCCTCTTCTCCCATCATCACGATTCATCCCGATCAATTCTGTGACACAGACAGCTCCTCGACCATCGTCTCCGAACCCACTCAGTCACCATCCAACGCCTCAACCGCTCAATCCCACCACCCTATGCACCGGAAAACACACGCTTCCACTCCCATGAACTCCACACCACCCCACCCCACCCCACCTGCTCTCCGCCGGCAACGTCGATCCACATTACGGCTGATGCATGCTTCTGTAGTAACTCACCCCCCACCCACAAATCCCATTCTTCTCATGAGACGAATGCGTCTGGATTCTGTTACAATCGTGTGCAGAGGCGTTGGTTGCATTACAAGCAGCGGTGATCAGTAGATGGAATCGCTTTGTTGTTTTGTTGCTTTGATTTGGTTTCCAGTTTGTGTGAAAAGAAAGCAAGTGCTTGAGAATCATATGCGACAGCTGATGCTGTGTTCGACAGATCATTCTTCTCGTGATCTTTTGCTCATCACATCCCCGCGTCCATCATCGGAGTCAGTCCCTCCCTCCCTCACTCCCTCAATCTCCATCTCCATCGCTGCTGCATTTCTTCGAGCTCCTGGAGTCGCCGCTGCGACGGAGGCTCAATGCCGCTGGCTACTCCGTACCGACACGAAGATTTCACTACTTCGATCTAACTGTACACATTTCGATGATGTTGTGTCCAAGTATATGAAATGCGTACATCGATGTAGATCTACGTAGGGAGTGCCAATCGTAGCGATGATGTTTCGGAGATTCTGAGGCGAGCTTTTTTTAATGGGTTTATCGATGGGTTTCACGAACGAAACGAATTTTGAATTTTGAATTCACAAATGAATACCTCCTAATGGGTTTTTTTAAACCAAGGCGAATCTAATATGGGGAGAGGTTTTTTATCCCCTCCTATGCAATGTCTAAGCATGTAGGGGGTTATTGTTTTAGAAAAATCTTGTAAGTTTTAAAGAGATAGTTTATGACTTGATGCTTTGTTCAATGGTAAAGCCTAATCTCTATAACTAATTGGAATATGGTACAAATCTCATTGATAGCATCCTTTCGTTTTTAATTTTATTATTATTATGTTGAATAAAAAAATTTAAAGTGTTTTAAGATGTATTTGTTTTGTTCCAATATCATTGTTTGGGCAATTTTGATCACCCTTGTGCTGTAGAATATCAAATTAATTGGACAAATTATAATTTTTTTAAAATAGACTTTTTTAGTCTCTTTGTTTAATTAAATCTTAATTTTATATTTCTATTTCCCCTGATGCTGAGTTAAAAAAATAATAATTAGTGATTCTTTTTCAATGTTGTAAAATCTATGAAATCCTTAATTGTAGAGTTTATATAGAAGTCTTATAATATGTTAATTGTAAAGTAATAATATGAGAAGGATTGAAGTACTTGTGTTTTACCAAAAACATTGGGACTTTTTTTTTTATTAATCTACAAACAACAATTTGCAACAAACCAGTTTGTTGTATATATGTTGTATATGTTATAAATAGTTAAATTCTTTGTCCAATTTAACTATTTATAAGTTTAATTTCAATAAATAAAATTTTTAAATTTTTCAAAATAGTATGTTGATATTTTATAAGAAATAAATATTTTTAAATAATAAGATTGATATTTAAATTTTATCAATGAATATATGTTTATATGTGAATTTGCATAATTATACAAAGAACTTAATTTTTAATAAATATCTATATCATAATTAAATCTTACATGTATGAATATACTAATTTTAAATTCAAAATAATAAATACTATCTTATTTTTAAATAAAAAATATTATAAAAAAACTATAAATTTAACTACAAAATATTTAGTTAATATTCAAATGTTAACATGATCATTTTTTGTCAGCTTTTTTAATTTTTTGTTATTGTGCATTGTTATGACATTTACAAATAAAGCAATACATAAGATTTATTCTCACTAATTTATACCTTTGAAAGGTGTATTTTGTTACTAAAAGCAAAAACTAATATAAAATTTTACTAGTTACAAGAACATAAATCCAATTCAAAAACTTCATATATATGTAATTTATAAAGTATATATATAAACTAAAGGCATCAATAAATATTTTTTATAGTTAAAAAAAAAATATTAAAAATGCATATTGATTTTTTTGTAAAGCCATTTTGTACTAAAAACACATATAGTATTATTGTTTTAAGTGAACAAAAATAAGATATCTAATATTTTAATATATTAAATTAATTAGTTTTTCATTTTTTATAAATAAATTAGATTTAATCTCCATCATCTATTAAAGCAATTAATGCTTAAAAAGATCAATGATTCTGAAGTTGACACTATTCTTATACACTTCAGTGCTAGCTACCAAAGGAAATATTTGGAAATTGTTTAAAAGTGTTTAGAACGTTTATTTTATCATAAAATAATATAATGACGTGACATTTAATATTTTTTGGTATAAGTGCATATAAATTTATTTTAAAAAAATCTTGTTAAACAAGACTATACTTATTTGACATAAAATTCAATAATGACCTCTTATAATTTAAATAAATAAGTCAAATATTCAAACACATCAATGCTAACTAAAACTTTGTAATAAATCTTATTATTTTAAAATTATTACTTATGATAATGAAAAATTATATACTTAATATAAAATCTTATAGTATAGTAAAAAGAATAAATCATTATTTTTTACTTCAATGTAATTTGTAAATTTTAATTTACTAATTAGAATTTATGTGAATTTATAATGTATACAGAAATAGCTAAAAAAACATATTTTAATATTAATTTCAATTAAAGGACTAAAATATCATAGTAAATTGTGAAACTTATATATACTTTCTATGCATCAAGTAAATTAGACAATAATTTACATCACAAACAATACAATTATTATGTTTGATTTAAATTAAGTAAAATATATTTAATTAATTTAAAATTTAAATTATTAAATTATTAAATAAGTTATTTTTTATATAAAGAAAAAAAAATCAAAACTCTTAATTTTTCAACAAAACAATATTAAATAACATTATTAATGAATGTCCTCACATCCTCAATAACCAAGTTTGGTACGAAGAAAATAAAAGCACCATAATTTTGAAAGAACAACTGAAGCATAAAGATGAACCATTCTTAAAATAAATTAAATTACTAAACAAAACATATATTTCCAAGCACAAAACAATCAATTTAAACTCAAATCAATTCTCTTCTTCAAAGACGTCCAACCTTGCTGAGGACGTCGATTCAAATGCTCGTCACTCCGGTATCATGAGAACCGCGCAGTGTGAACAGTGTCATCTAGGAACAGTGGACCATAACTGTGTGAACAGAGCCACATCCGAGTCGGCGAATAAGGCTGTGTGAACAGAGCCCTATACGAGTTAGGTGCGTCGGCGGTATGAACAGGGAGATTATGCGTAACATTGGAAGTAGGCAATGCGGGGGGGGGGGGGGGAGGCACACGATCGCAACTCATGGCTGGCTGGGATGCGCACATTCTACTGAGATTTGATGCAGCGGTGTAGGATTCGGGTGCGTTTCCTCAGGGATCACTGCTTGCGAGGTGAGTTTCGGATTCTGAGTCCCTGCAGTGGCGTTGTTGAGGACTGTTCGTTATCAGTCCCCCCCGAGAGGCGTGAGCTTCCGGAACGGACGCAGATGGTAATTTTGGGTTTGGTCTCTATGATTCACAGGAGGACGGGATGACTGAGAGTTGAGAGGATGCGATTCACGAAGACCTAGGAATCAGGGGTAGAAATCTCGCATGTGGTTGATTTGGGGTCGCTTGTCTGGTTGCCAGGGATACAGCTGTTGGTCCGGTCTCTCCAGAAATTGTTGCGAAGTTTTGATTGTGCTCTTCCGTACTGTGTGATCGTAGTCTTTGGTTTGAACCTTAGTTTGTTCTGGAATCGCTGCTCTAGTGCCTTTGGTTTTCGCATTTGGTAGTATGCACAACATAAATACGTGCAAGTAACTGGCTTGAAAGGGAGCCGATGAGGTTGAGCTGTTTCACTTCTTCCCTTTTAATTTTCGAATCTCCCAGATTAGATTTGGTCTAAGAGTTCACCATTTTAGTACATTTTGAGGATCATTGCTGTTTAAGGATCAACAGAATTTCCACTAAGTTGATCGTCAGTGGGATTCCTAGTGCAACAACACGTTGTGTAACGGGTCCGCTTTTTTTCTGCTTTGTAAAAGAACATCCAGCTGATGGAATTGGTTTCTGTTTGGTATGTGTGTGCAGCCTTTCTCTGCTTAGTCAGCAAGGTGTATCAATGTTAATGGCATTGGAAATGTGAATGCCATCCCAGCTGGAATAAGTTTCGGTAGGGTTGTCGCCATCATGGGATTATTCAGTCGTGAGGCGTCAAAATATTGCTGTAATCGTCGATGCCAAAGCAGCAACTCTGATAGGTCTTCTGAGGTCGCCATTTCGTAATTTTTAGCCAGCTTGAACATGAGTTTGGTTCATTTCTTTTTACCGCTAAATGCATCGAACATGGCTCTTATTTGTACGCTTGATGAAGATTCGCAACCTTCTCACATGCCTCGGAGATAGCGACTTCGTTGCAGTACCAGACCACTGCCGTAGCTGTGGGCAACCCATGAGGAGGTCTTCGAATTGAAGTGCCCGGATTACATAATTTAACGGTACGAGTCAGACTGCGTGTGCAAAGTTTGGAGCTATGGGTCGCCCCGCTGAGGGCTACTGGAGATTTGTTTCGGTACCGGTGGTGATTGTTCTGCTCATAATGGGTTTTTCTTATCACACATTAGTTGTGCTCGTCATACACCCGTGGTTGAACGTGAACACAACTACTGGGTTCGCGAATGTTGCACTCTTGACCATCTTGTGCACCATGGCTTTGCATTCGTACGCATTAGCTGTGGTGCGTGATCCTGGATATATTCCATCATCTTACCTACCTGACTTGGAGGAAGAAGTTGCAGTGCATGAAGTCAAGCGCAAGGTCTTTCTGGTGCCGTTCTTCACTAAGTCAGACATTTAGTCTTTTCATTCTCTATCAGTGCTTCTATGTTGGGGCTTGATAATTATTATGCTTTTCAACTGAAATGATCTGATGAGGTTTGTGACGATTATTGACAGCTTCTCGTGATCAAATTGCTGGTTAGATATGTTGTATGTACCGTTAAAAGGTTAGAAGTTAGATTTGCTGTAAGAGAGATAAAAGTGCCTTGTTGCTTTGAATAGTTTTTTTTTATAAGATTAAAATCAACAAGGTTCATAATTTAAGTTTACAAGGACCACCATGGACAACCTTGGAGTATAGATAGTATCAGCGGAGATTAGTACCGTACGAACCATCAGGCAATTTTAAGTCCGTGAAGAACTGTCATCTGTGTCGATAGAATCTGCAACATGTGACGTAATTAAATAGGTCGAATTCCTTGATGAAAAATGAACTCGACTGGACCTGTTAGTGAGAGCTAGTCTCCAGCTCAATGACGGATGTGTTTTTGTGAAATTTATTCCAGGGTGGAAACAGATATTGCCAAAAATGTGAACAATACAAGCCACCGCGAGCTCATCATTGCCGGGTTTGCAAACGTTGCGTGCTTCGTATGGTAATGATGTCAGTTATTGTTCTAGTGTATTTCCTGATGAGAGACGTGCTATTCATCGCGCTAGTAGCCCTTTTGTGCAAATTCCGGTTCGGGATTTATTTTTCCATATTTTATTACTTCTTATTGACTGCATCTTACCCCACCGAGTGCAAATTATCTTGGTGAAGTCTTTATCCGTTGTTCTGTAGGTTCCTTAATAGTTTTAGCTTGGCAAACACAAACACATAAACAAATACCTTATTCTTGTTTCTTTTTTGTGAGAAACAACTATAGAATTGAGGAATTAATTAATTTTCATACGTCGACGTTGACACTATTTTGTTCTACTAAAGGCGGGTCTTGTGTTTTCAGGGTGCAGTTCCGGGAAAGCTTGTTGTCTTCACTTCTATGAGTAATTTCTTCATGTGATTTGACAGGATCACCATTGTATGTGGGTCAACAATTGTGTAGGCCACTATAATTACAAAGCCTTCTTTCTCTTCACCGTGTATGCATCAGGTGCAGGTTTACAGTCTATGGTGAGCTTATACCAATTCTTGTTTCGTTGGGACTTCCTGGTCTGACGACATTTAGCCATTTATTCGATTGAAGACTTCGTTGCCTACATTATGTGAACAAGCAGTGCAACGCTGTTGAAGGACTAAATATTTTGTCTTCTTCTCTTGAAGATCTTGTTAGGAACTCACTTTATTCAGACTTTAGGAGATGAAGGGCCAGAGGACATGGATGCAAAGGTGTTCAGCGAGTCTGTTACATCTTCAGCATTTCCAAGGGTAAGTTTGTCAGTCAATCTTGTTGTGTTGGTGACACAAGGCTCACTCTTTTCAAGATCACTTCTAGGTGTCGTGCGTGTCTAAAACTAGGTGCACCTCGTTTACAGATAAAGCGGATTTTAGTGCTTATACTGTGCATTTGGAGCCATGAAATTTTATAGCTGAAGACATGAAGCTTGTTATTGTGAATGGCGAGCAAGGGTATGATATGGTTTTTGGTTAGCATACTTTGAAAATGAGTTGGTGTCATTTTACGCAGGTGATTTGTGCTGTGATTCTGGTGCCTGCTTTGATTGCAGCAGCGGCGATGATGACATGGCACTTCTATTTGCTGTTGCACAACAAGACTACCATTGAGGTTGTAATTGAAATGCCTTGGTTATGTGGCGTGTGCTGTGCACGTGTTGTGTTGGGGAATTTTATAGCTTCAGGAGATTGTTGTGACATGTTAGATGGAAGTCACAGTAGGTTGAACAGGGCACTGTGAAGTAGGAAATAGGGACCATTTACTTGCCACAGATGTGATTGAGTTGTTGGCGTAGTCGATACATCAGATGATTGGATGGGCTTGGAATGTTGGACGCGGTTGAAGTGAGCTCTTGTGGAGAGAACTGAGGTGTTGTGTGTTGGTGGCCAGTATCATGAAGGCGTACGGGCGACGTGGCTTGCAGAGGACATAGGGCAGGGTTACCGCCATCCATATGATATTGGCATATTCATCAACTTAGTCGCTGTAAGTATTTTCTCTTTTCTCGGCTTCTTGCTGGCTGGATTCGTGGCGTGTTCCCTTGCAAATGGATGTTTAGTTGGGTTTTTGGTCGTATTGAGGTGTAATGGTAACGTTTTGTCGTTTTTTAAATTGGTGATGTTCTACCACCTTATATCCACTGCCGGATGTAGTTTTTGGGATTGCACTAGATGATTAGGCATACTTCTGGGCTGCAGAATCTTATAGTTGCGGGTGTTGTAATACTTAGAGTTGGTCGTGGGCGTGTATTGCATTAGATAGCTGGCTGCTTGCTACAGTTGCCGTGTGATGTGACTAATTCAGCCACTGCTATTGTTACTTTCTTGGTGATGCCGAATCAAAGAATTCGAGATGCCAGTGTGCTTTTCTGTGATGGACATTTTTTTGTTGTACTGCTTTCTGCGACAGTGATCATCTCGTACCTTTTGTGTTTGTGCAGGCTTTGGGACCCAGTGTGAGTTGCTGGTTGTGTCCAAGTGCAACAGGCCACCTGAGCCCTGATTTACAGTGTGAAACATTCAGCGGTGACATTCTAGAAATGGAGTAAATGTGGATGCTCGAGTGACGAGATCTGCACATATACTGATACACAAGCCGGATCGAACTGCACTGCGGATTGTCATCAGTTTCCTTTCCTCTGGAAGCTGAAGTGGGAGTAGACTATTTTTGTGGTCGTGCGTCATACCGTATGTTCAGAGCACTGACCTTTTCGTGCACAAACGCATCCGACATACGCAATATGATCCTCCCATAAGTTTGCGAATGGGATTCGATCAATCTTGAACTAGAAGGCATGGTCCTTCTGACTTTCAAACTACATTTGTGCTCTTCAGCTCTAAAAATAGGTGTCCAGGACAATGACCTCCAAAGGGTTGTGGTTGCGATCTCAAAGGGTCTCATAAGTACTGACTTGTTGATTCTCGGTATTCACACCTCATATTTATCATTGGGCTCAACTGCTGAATACCGGGGACGTATATCAGAATGTGATTGGACTGGTCAGGCAGCCACTTCTGATAGATAGTTCTCTGCTATTTAATTCTGATGCAGGGACTTCGTTGATAGTGAGAAGGCTTAGTGTTTTTTCAGTTTCTTGACATTGCTACTCAGCTTCGTAATGGAGACAGTAAAAGATGGGGACCACTGAAGACTTAGCTGGGTTATGATGTACCATGTTTTGTTCCAAGGTGTTATGGAACAATTTCAATCGCACTAGCCAGTAGTTTTAAATCACTGGAACTCAATAGGACCATGCCTAGTGCGTAGTCATAATAAAGCATACAACTATGCATTGAACATTGCATGTAACTTGACTATTGTTGAATCCATGCCAGTCAAAGAGAAATGACTTGCTCCAGTCAGAGCGACAGCATGTAATCTAGTCTCGACAATGTGTCAACTTTCACACAAGTAGAGAAGGAATAGTTTTGAGCTCCTGTTTTTTGTATTTCTAGGAGAAAATATCAAAACATTTCAAATGTATAGCAGAGTTGATTTTTAAGAAATATTCTTGTCCACAGGAAAATTTGAAGGTATTTTGACAAATTGGCCGTTGCTAAACTAATAATTGGTCAATTTCTACCACGACTCTTACCACTACTTAATCAACTGTGTAAATTTACACTATCACGTGTATTGCACTAGGGAATATTAAGATTATTGTGGTAATATAAATATCAAAATACATTGTATTGTTTTAAGTATCATCCACTTTTAACAGTCAAGTTCATTCTTGATACAATAGTTGTTCCAAGTTTTACTTCTTTTTCATTTTACTTTTGTTTATGTTCTAATAGATAGACTTAAAATTGGTATTGTTCGTGATGTGTTGTTGTATGTATACAAAACCAGTTAATGATGTTACAGAAAGTTTCGAAATAAATAGCTCTTGTGTAATTTAAAACAATGCAGTGATTAATGTACTAATTTCAATGTCATTAAACTCCTCTTGTAATAATACTTCCTCATAATAAATCCTCTAGCAACGACAACTGGATTATTTTCACCAAAGCAACTGAGTCTAGCATTGTTCTATCGATAAAGGTTCTCCACACGGCATAACGCCAAGTCGATCGCATTGCAAAATGCGGAAGCATGCGGTGAATCTGTTACCGATCTAATCGAGATGGTCCACAGATCCAACAACAGCACCCTCCAATGCCAGATACATGCACATGGAAGCTAAGAAGAAGGTGGGATATGCTGCTGCTGCTCCAGCTTGTAGATGGGTCCAAAGGAGTTGACTAACTGTCGTTGGCTTCTTCAATGTCGCGTCAACAGGACGAGGAATCTGAAAGAGTGATGAATGATTCCAGGTTGCCTCTGACACACCTTAGCCCGCACATGCGGTAAGGAAACTACCCTTGTGAGATTCCAAAACCACCGTTTCTGGAGAGATGGAGCTTCCCATGGAGCCCAAACATCTGCATCATCGATCATGAAGGGTTGTTTACATCGAGGGTTAGTTTTTGTTCGCATCGGTCCAGAAAAATTAGATGACGTGCTCAGTCGGCATCCGACTGCAACCTCTTCCACATTGTTCGCCATCTGCATCTACTGCTTCAACCGGGGACAGCGGAAGAAACCCAATCGAGGCACATTCCAGTAGTAGCCTTCACAAAAACTGTCAATCACCTGATATTAACACCACAAGTGCCAAAATACTCAACAGTAAAGCACACGATCCGCATCACCTGGTGGTTGGTCATCACCAACTGCGGAACGGGAAGCAAGCGTCCACGGTAAAGTCCGAGCAGTGCAGACTTTAGATTCAGTTGAAGTTCAGATCCCATCTGCAAAAAACGCAAGTAATTGATAAACTAGTCAGATCTGATACCCATCTCCAAAGTAGTGCAACATCAAGCTCTTCACTTTGAGAGCTCGGCGAGCTTCAAATCCAACACAAGCACCCAAATACCTCACATTCTAGATCAAAAACCTCGATTGTAGATGTTTCCTTCCTCACATCGACACAAACGAAGCGGCGTTTTCGTGACACACTGTCCAGATTGCTCCCACAACGGCGTTTTTTTTACTGAGCGAAGAGGATGAGGTAATGGTGTCATTCAACTTGTGGTTCGTGGAACCATTGTTTACAGTTCATTGAAGAGATGGGTAGTGAAGTTACGGTGTTGTGTTGTTATTAATATTATCGTTATTTTATTTGTTTGGTTGTTTGATTTTGTGTGGAGGTTGGATTTGTTGTGCACAACATGGTCAAATGATGTGGTGTATACATTAATTTCTAAGTATCTCAGTGAGACATTTTAAAACTATAGAACATCTATTTATTTATTTTAAATCTATGGCGTGGTTACTTAACTGTAGAAGTTTTGTTTTAAAACAACGTAAAATGTGTTATAAAATAATCCAACAAAGTTTGCATCGACGATATTAACTTAGAGATTCCAAATGTATTCTCAATGGTATTAATGGTATTATAGATTACTGTTTGGACTTTGAGGTGACAGTGTGGAATACAATAAAAATATTCTATGATTAACTTAAAAGATAGATTATTATTATCATTATTATTATACATAAATTTTTATTTTTGTAAAGTAATTCCAACTGAAAAGAACAATAATTAAGATTTTATATTTTATTTAGATGTAAATTAAATTGATAGCTTATCAATTAATATAGTTTTTTACAATAATAATATAATAAATATTATATTAATAATGTGATAAATATTATATTGATACTGCAATATTTTATATAGATATTCAATAAGTCAAGTTATAACCATTCTATTTTATTTTTATTTATTTTAAAATTTTCTCGATCCAATACTGTAAGTTGTGATTTTGTTAAAACACATCAAATTTTAAAATATACACAGATTATATATATGCAAATATCTGCATATTTGGACTATACAGAACTTGTTATGATTTTTTTTCAGTTAACAGAAATTACGTTTTAACTTTAAATGTCAAAAAAGTTATCAAGATTATAGCCACCACATTTTGATGAATTTTTTAATCACTTAATTGAACACGAAATTAATATCTAATCACAAAAGTTAAGTACAATTACAAATTTGAAGCGATGTTTTATAATTTGGAGAATAAAATAAAATATTATAGTAATTGTATTAACTTGCAGAAACTGACTAAGGGCATTCGATTTTGTGAACAAAATTATTAGTAATTATGTTAAATGCATGGTAAATGTATCAAAAGTTGAATCTACAAATGAATGAATAATGTGATTTCTAAAGGCACATAAGAAGGATTAATAAAGGGAATAAATAAACAAATAACTAAATACTACCATTAGATGATATCATTTGATTTGAATTAGGACTTGATGCTGATTGAAAGGACATACGAGAAAATATGTCTGAAAGTTACAAATAGCTACCACAACAATAAGCTTCTTGCATTTCCACAAACACACACCACATTCTCTTCACAAAAATTGAGAATCATGAGCCTTATTATCATACAATATGTTATTACAGAAAAAGGGTATGTATTTATAAATATAATTACATACACATATACGTGTATACCTGAGTGTGTAAATGTACATGAAAGAACAAAAGTAGATTGTCTAAATAAGGTGCACCAAGTTATGGTTCCTCATTATTTCGAACAGTGTGTGATTCTGAACTGGTCCAAAAAGGAGCTATTCTTCAGGAGCCATGAAATAATTCCACTGCAAACTATTCATCAATACCCCATCCACATTAACTGATAAAAAAATAAATAAAAACAAAATACTGTTCCTTTTCTTCAATGTTTTAGGTTTCAATTGCTTCGGTTACTGGACCCCAGATATTTATTACTTTTCCACACTTGATGCTCACAATAAAGGAACAAGGAAAGGTGAAGAGCCAGATGACTTTGTGGAAAAACCTACAACTTTCAAACTGTATCAAACCTTATTTATTTATTTGTAATTGTTTCTTTCTATACATATTTAGCCTTCATCACCACACACAATAATAAAAATGCGCAAGAATTAGCTAATTAAAAAAAATAAAATGATATGAAATAAAGGAACTAGTAAAAATAAGTGTTAAAAGAAGGCAATTAATACCACAACTGTTATATGTATGTATGTATGTATATATATATATATATCTATATATATGCACTGGCCTCAATGCAAAATGAAATATGGCGTGGACCCACCACGTCATCTGCCACGTTGGCAAGAATCTCTGTAAGGGAGAGAATCCCCGGTCTGGACATTTTTAATTCGGGTTGCCACGTGGAATTGAGAGTAATGCCAAATGTTTTATAGGAAAAAGTTTTAAGCTTCCAAAGTTTTTTTTAAAGTAACAAAGTGTGCTTATAAAATACTTGGAGAGGTGGGAATTTGACTATCTATGTAGCAATCATCTTTGGTATTTGAGATTAACCATGTTTATGTATCATTGTATCATTATAATATATATATATATATATATATATATATACATACATATGTATTGTGACTATAAGCATAGATGTATGTATATTATTATTAAGAATAGTGTATTAATAATTTTTTTTTAAAACTTCATAAACTATGAACTATATATGCTTAATTTGGTTGTAGGTAATGAATTTATTTCAAATTATCTCAGTAACATTAGACCAAAATTTCTAAAATTATTATTTCTTCTAATTCAAAAAAATTGAACATGCTATAGCTTTATAATCACATTGATATCAATTCAGGAATGCTTCATATATGGAACTCAAAATTACATAGAAATATTTTCAAAAGAAAAAAATTATAAAGATATAATTATTATCAATTATTGTGCTTGCTCATACTATAGTCTACGTATTTTTTTTGCAAAAGGAATCGTAGAACAAGCAACATTGAGAGAATTGAATAATATTTATTTTTAAAGAGATTTCTATTAAATATATTATTTTCTTGTTGCACTTTTTCCATTAAAATAAGATAATATAAGCTAATGTTATTAGAATTGTTAAAATTATTTGTCATTTACTATCAAATATTTTATGATTAAATTATCTTTATTTACCTTAATTAGAATATTTGGATAAGTGTCATGTCTATAAAACATAGTTGAATACTAAGATAGAATTATTTTAGTAAAATATAATTATTTTTAGATAAATAAAATTTCTATAAATTTCTGTATAAATCAAAAATATTTTTTAGCCCTTTTTTCTAGAATTATAGCTCATGTTAATATTATGGCTTAAATATAAAGATTATGTATCAAATAAAATATGATTTGTTTTTCTTATGAGATTATCTGTGTCAAATCTCACTAGAAACACATCTAAAAAGGTTTTGTATCTTACATATATTGTAAAAATCATGTAGATAAAAAGAAACATTAAGTAAGAATTTTTAACCACAAATACAACTCCTGTATTTAAAGTACAAATAGTGTTCAAACTTATCATGTGTATTATAATTAACTTATTTGATTTGTTAAATTTTTATATATATATATGTTGTAAAATACATGTAGATAGTTTCTATTTTTGGTATATATATAAAGAAAAATTTAAAGTCTTAGCTATACCTAAATATACATGATTTAGCAATTAAAATACAAAGCTAATTTTATTACATTTAAGTTGAATAAATTTTTATTTATCCTAAGGTATATATATATATATATATATATACAAATTGTTCTAGTACCAATTTATTTGTTTATATGTTTTGAATTAATCTAAAATATTATAAAGTAGTAAGACTTAGTGTATATGTCGTTACCTATATATATATACAAATAAGTATAGTTGCCAAAAACAAATTACCATATATATATATGATTTTAACTATAAAAAGTATAAAACATATATTACAAATATATATTTATGAATATTTAAATAAAAAAGATCTGAATTTTAATTTAATTTGTAATTTGACATGCAATAGGTATATACAAATTGTAAAAATCTATTTACAAATAAGAATTAGAATAGTAGAATAAAACTTTTGTAACTATCATAGCTTATTTTAAAACTAATGAATAAAAAATATTCTTGGTTATAGATTACATGATCATATCGAAATACTTTTAAATATAGTATACATATTTAATAAAAGACGTTTTCTTCTCGATATTAGAAATCTGAAAAATCTTAAAAATCTGAACTCAATCACAATAAAAACAAGTTTTAATATCTTTGGTTTAGAAACTTCTTGTTAAAAAGCTTTTGACATGGTAGTACTTTGCTTATGTATGTGTGTATATAAATACATGTATATATCTTCAGAAATATCTACTGTTTCTTTAAAAATCTTTAATATATAGAAAAGACAATTTATCACCTAATCTTGTAATGTAGCTAAAAAGATGCACTCTTGACAAATTTATGCATTTTTGAGTTCAAGTTTGTTTTACACAAAAAATGCCCATAGTATATGTCTAGAACAAACTCTTCTAATGTGGTTTAACAAGTTGCATTCATGAACCAAGTTGTTTAGACAAAAACATTATATAAACTAACTCTTTTAAATGGATATGAAAAAAAAGAAAAAAAAAGAAAAAAGAAGAAGAAGGATTATTAGACCTTTATTATAAATTTTAAGAATTTATTTACCAATTTAATTATTACTTTTATATATTTTAACGCCCAATTAAATTCTTGATTCACCAAGTTCATATTTCAAATAACTTGATTGAGGAACCTTCCTTTAGGGTTTTGAAACTTCAAGTAAATGCACTATAAAGCACAGCTTGTGGTTTTTTTTTATTTGCTTAAATTATTTTTTTATTTTTTTATTTTACCAAATATAAAAGAAATAAAAATGGAAAGATTTCTATTATATTGTGCATTTGTAATCATTAAAAATAAAGAGATTAGTTTCATTCTGATGTTTCTTTTAATTATTCAATTACTTATTTTCTTTCTCTTGTCTTTCTACCAATTGTTTGGACAAATAAAAAAAAAACCTTAATATATTGTGGCCATCCTTTAAATACTTTCAAAATCTAATTTAGATTATTTTTGTGCCAACACCAAGATATCACTCACATGTATAGTTAGCACTCCTAATAAACTTATGTCAATTTAAGTGATTTCTTTAGTGAAATCCCAACTAGTTTACTAAAGGCTAGACACAAAAATTCTACTTAAGTTCAAGACTATTGTAAAAAAGCCTACTTGTTATTGGTAACATCTTCACCTCATCTTTACCAAACATAGCAATACTACTCTTCTGAAATACCTCTGTAAATATGCACCATTTTTTATACTAAACTATACAAAAATATTTATATATTAACAGAAAATCAAATACATATACTTTTGTAATGTTTGATGCTAAGTTAAAAAAAAAATTAATAAATGTTTTCATTATAAAAGAATTAGTATTAGTGTGGTCAACAAAATGAAAAATACAATTGAAAATGGTTTTATTTTTATTTTTTAAATTTGAGAATTATACTTTCATAAGATCTTCACAAAATGTAATTCCAACCGTTAAAAAAACACTGAAATTAAACATAAGTATCATTCCGATATAGAATTTGGACACATTCTACATTTGTACTTATTTGAATGCGCCTCAGATCCCAACGTACAACGCCCATGGCCCAACGAGATTCATCCAATGCATGAAAAAACGAAAGCCAACACGGATGAGAAATCAAACGATGGCAGCATGAGAACGCCGAACAGAAGGATGAAAACGGGATGGGACACTAACGAACGAATAAAAAAGAACGAATGAATACATAGATGAACGAAAAAAATAATAGGATGAGACATGGATGAGTGAGGTGGGATGAGAGAGAGAGGGAGGGAGCAATTGCTGAAGGACGGACAGACGAACGAACAGACGAGCGAACGGACGGACGACGCACGGGTGGGTGGGGGGTATATTGCGCGATTGCGTCTTATCGCACCCGTGCTGCGTGCCTGCCTGCCTGCCCGCCCGACTAATAATGCAGCCTCCTGCTCCCCCCCCCCCCCCCCCGTGTGGGTCTAACGCACCGGGCCAGGGGGGCGGGGCGGCGAAGAGAGTCCGCGATGGATGGAGCGAGATGAGATGAGAGAGCAGAGAATAGGGAGAATGGGGAGCGAGAGAGCGAGAGACAGAGAGCTCAAGCTCATCGCAAGGTCTGTCTCACACCTTAATCCATCTATCGAATCTAATCTTGTTCCATAACATATCGGCACGCTAGGGCTCCTCCTCCTCCAGCCTTCAGCTTCCTCGCTCGCTCGCTCGCTCTTCTGATCACTGCTCTGATGCACTCACTCATGCTCGCATGCTTAAGCTGCCATCCAAATCTTTTTTATCCATCCTCTCCGTGTGTGTGTGTGTGTGTGTTTATTTTATTATTTTATTGTTTAATTTTAGTAAACGTGATTATTTAAATAGTTTTGGTGCAGGTGTTGTAGTAGTCTCCTTTTTTTCCGTGTAGCGACGAATCAGGCTCTTTTACATTCATTCTGGGGGAGGTTGGGGGTGCTTTACTTGCTTATTTTCTACTTCTGGCGAGGTACCCATGAAGTGAAGGAGTCTGGAATTTTGGGGTGATTCACTCACTCATGATAGATTCTCGGGGTCATTATTTTCTTGTGCTTATGGCGTTTGTCTGCTTCGCTCCGGGGAGAGCGTTGACACCGAGTTGAGGTAACACACGAGGGGGGGGATCGGCGGTGCTGGCAAAGGTTGAGGATAGGGCGCGGGAGGGAGGGAGGGATGGAGGAAGAGTGGGCGGGCGAGTGAGCAAGGAAAGAAAATGGAAAATAAGGAGGAGCGCAATAACACGAGAAGAGGGGTTCTGTTGTTGGATCAGAGGAGTTGGGCGTCGGTGGGGACGGTGGTGGCGGGGGGATGAGGAGGAGGAGAAGATCACCGTGGCCGAAGTGGTGGCGACGGTTCCAAGGAGCGGTGTCGAGAGAGTATGAAGGTATGCTAGAATATTACATTTTTCTTTTTGCAATTCTGTGTTGCAACTGTTTGTAGAGATGCTGTCGGGAATGGTGTGTATGCGAGGATCGTTGGAAGGGTTAGGCGGTCTCATTTACGCAAGCAAGTTTCTAGATGGCCGCACTACATTGGTGGGTTTTCAGAGCGAGTTGGGGTGCGGTTTGGGTGAGCTCAGAGTTGGGATTGACGCTGCAGCTGGTGCAGAATTATCAGGAGCGGAAAAGTAGTTGGATATGAGTCGCCGCTCCAGTAGCAGAAACAGTAGCGACAGGTGAAGATAATTGAATGTCGGGTCACTGGTCGCTGCGATGACGGCGATGGGAGGACAGGGAGTAGGCGGTGGAGGAGGGAAGGTGGATTCCACGGCGCTAGCCATGGCAGGGCTGGGACAGGAATACGGTGGTAGCGAGGGGCAATCTAGCGGTAGCGTGGGTGGGATAGGCTGCATGTCGATGCCGGGGGGCTCTGGAGATCTGCAGCAACAGCCGCAGGAAACCCAACAACAACAACAACTGGCGCCTGCCGCACCGGCGAAAAAACCTCCACCGAAGCGAACCTCGACGAAGGACCGACACACCAAAGTGGATGGGCGCGGGCGTCGTATTCGCATGCCCGCGACGTGCGCAGCGCGAATTTTCCAGCTCACTCGTGAGCTTGGTCACAAATCCGATGGGGAGACGATCGAGTGGTTGCTCAAGCAATCCGAACAATCGATTATTGCTGCTACTGGAACAGGTACCATCCCAGCCATCGCATCCTCCATTCAGGGGTCAATACGGAGCTCCTCGAGCATGACAACGGCTGGGAGAGCTGGACTGCATGGTAGCTTAGGCTTGGCTGGTCCGGGTGGCGGACCGCCAGCGGAAGGGATGCAGGGTAGGATGCACCAGGAACAGGCACAGCGAGGGAGGAATGATTGGGGGCCAAGTGCAGAAGATCGTGTGATGGAAGTGACACGGGCCATGGAGGCCAGTCGGCGGATGAATTTGGGGCGTGGGGATCCAGGCATTAGCCATGATGTGATGTCCGGGTTCCAACACCAGGACCTGGTGGGATCGCCATCCGAGGCAGTAGAGGGCATGGAATCTCCTGATAGCATGTTACGGAAGAGACCCAGGGATGGACCTTTGCAGAGCCGAATGAAGGAAGACCCTGACCAGCAGCAGTCGTCGAGGCCTGTGCGAGCCACTGCTAGGCAATCCTTGCAGCTGCAGGGAAGACAAGGGCAGCAGCACCAAGGAGGAGGCTCCTCCGGCGTGATGCCTGCCGCAATGTGGGCCGTGGCACCGGTAGGAACAGGCGTGTCCAGCAGCGGAGCCATGCCGGGGACGATTTGGATGCTTCCTGTGAGCGCATCGCAGGGTGCACCGACGTCAGGAGTGATGCCGGGGCAATCTGGGCAGCAAATCTGGACGTTTCCGACGACGTCGGCGCAGTATCGAATGACTGCAGAGGCGGGGACGTCGATCCAACTGGGCCCTGGAGGTAGTGGCGGGAGTGGCCAAGGTAATGCTCCCACCTCCAGCAGCAGTGGTCAGGCGATGGTGCCGTTGACGGCTTCAGTGCTGCCCAGTGGGGTGGCACTGATGCCGCGGATCAATATTCAGGGAGGTATGGGGCTGGATCTTCAAGGCGGTCATATGGGTCATCACATGCCGCTCGGGTCTATGTTGTTGCAGCAAGGGAGCCAGCAGATGCTGGGCACTGGATTAGGCCTTAGTGGCGATGGGCACTTGGGGATGCTGGCTGCTTTGAATGCTTACAGCCGCAACTTGACCCCTGACCATCAATCAATGAGTGGCTCTGGGCACCAACAGGGCGACAGCGGCGACGATCACACTAGTTCACAATAGCTGTCCTTTCCACTGTTCCACATTACGACGACGATGACGACTAACAACAACGACGACGTATTTCTTCACTCGTCTGTGAAGAAGCTGCCTGAGTTTGGTGCTCAAGCTGCACATTTATCATGCGCGCAAGTATTCTCTCTTGCAAAGACCACGTCCGCAACCATCCTCAGGCAGCCCTCAGGAGTGACGATGACAGTTTTCTCTCGTCTATCTTTTTTTAGATTGAGAGCTTGTATCAAAATAGGGCGTCGGTGCCATACCTGGATAACTTCTTACGGAAAAAGGAGAAATGATGACAGAGAGCAGGTGTGGAGCATGCACAGTGCTGCCGTGCGACGATTTCACGTGTGGCAGTGTCGCCTCTGCTGTGCTGCCAATGGTACTGGGGAAAAAATAACAAAACAAAACAAAACAAAACAAGGAGGAATTGAGGTTGCAGTAGCAACGCGCTCCGTTGGGGGATGGTTTGTCGCTGGGTCTCGCTCTCGTCTTCTGCGGCGTGGCCAGGATTCTGCATCCTCTCTACTCACATCCCAGGACCCGTTATTTTTATTTTTATGTTATTTATTACTCATAATTCATCAGATCTAAATGTTTCAAAAAGGTAGCCAAACCACTGCGGTTGAAACAGGTTGTGTTTTTTTCTTCTAGTGTCAAGTAGGGGTCATTCTTTGTCAACGTTCTGACAGCCATTGGCACTGTCGGGGCTTAATAATACTCTCTCTCTCCCCTCGAGGTCAGGGATTTGCGCACTTGTCGCCTTCCAGTATGAGTTTTTCCTCTTCCTTGGCTCGCTGTGTCTTTCTTTTTTCTTTTTCTTGTTAAACAGTGCGCACCCTTCAGGGACGTTCTCTTGGGTTTTGTCACTTTCCTTGGCTTGCAGCTCCCTATCTCTCTGATGTTATGATCTTAGTTTGTTGACGTCCTCGTTCTCTTTTGGACCCTGTCATCATAGTTTCGTAGATGTCCTGTGTAGAATTCTAGACTGAGATCGATCTTGTGTGTGTGTTCGAGCAGTTACGCTAAAAGGGTTATGAATGAGGAGGTATAATGCTTGACGTGCCCACGTTGCGTATCATTGTTCATCTCTTTTGCCTGTTTTTATCACTCTCCTCTAGCCGTCCAGAGTTTATGTTCTACTGTCAATGGGTCTCTGTTTTATACTGTTCTTCTGTTCAATCAAAAGACGTACACTAGGAGGAATTCGGTTCCATGCTTTCCAAGCCGCTTCTAGTGATAGTTGTAGATTCTCTCGCACTTTTGTTTGACTCAAGTCTCTTGAATTAATTTAGGAAAACCTGGGATGAAACTGCTGCATAACTTGTACGATGTTTTCCTTTCCTCGTGCACATGACAATGACCAGAGGGACGATTCGGCCTTGGTAATTACATAAATTTCAATCCGCCCTCAGCATGGAGTTGTAACTTGTAACATTAGTAGAACAAAATCCGGGACAGTTCTTTCTGTTCAAGTGCAAAGATCTCATTGTCTACGGTGCAGCTCGGGTTATGATGGATGCTGACGGAGCTAGTGAAATTAGTGCAGTGAGTGTTTCTCAATACATGCTTGCTTAGTGAATTTTATTTGTCAAGCGTTCTATTTGTTCTTTTTTTTCTTATAATGTAGTTTTTATTTGAAAGCAATCTCTCATCATTTGTGGCAGTCGTCTACTTTCTTCCTGGCAACGGTTTCGACCTTGGACCTGTTTACACAAGCATAGGTGACTTGCTCTTTGCTGCCTTAATTGATTTGGCTCCGATTCCTGTCCACAAGCTCATTCTGGAACAATCTCCTCTTTCAGCAAACACTTGATTTAGTGGGCATCTTCACTTGTATTGTCCTTTGCTCCTGCAGTCAGAAGGGAGAACGGGCTGTCGCACCAATCGAAGGACTACTTTGTGGATTTGTTGTTGGTGTTCAAGTTCTGCTCTTCGAACAAATCAGCAGGTTATACTGCTTGGACAACGACTGGGGCAATTATGCAACTTTCCTTTTCGTCCTGGAAATGACGACAGACTAGCCAAACACTTTGATTCACCCCGATTGTTAATGACAATGCGAATTTACTGTTCACATACGACGAGGATGTGGAGATTGTATGGTCCAGGACGACAGCTCCTCGTTGGGGTGGGGAATGGGGAGCGAGCATTGTTGTAGGATCGACCCTCCTTGTTTTCGTATCGTCTGCTGTGCTCTTGGTAAGTTGGCGAGATCAATTGCCTCACGACAGACTTGTGGAAATGTATTGGATTATCGCAGATTTGATAGCGTTGTTGATGAAGCTCTAATGCACGCGGGAGATGGTTCGATGTGTAAAAGTGACCCGTTTTTCTCCCCAAGTGACGTTTTCACTCAGCAAGGTTTCACAGTTGGCTTGCTACTGTAGTAGTATATTAACCTTCTCAAGATAGCAGGAGATGTCCAGCTTTTAGCTTCTCACCCGCAATCCCAGTGCACAATTACCTTGAAGTGAGCATGGTCAGGTGACAGCAATGGGTAGGCACGCAAAGGGGAATATAATTCAGCAGCTTCCACAGCACACATCAAGGAGATCAAACAGCATCCCATAATTGGCACTAAAAAGCAGGCAATAATATAATATCAAGTCCTTCGACCATGCAAAATCATGCTGCTGGACCAGATATCTGGTGAGACGCGAGGAGACATGCGCATACGCAAGTGAAAAGGGGGTCTGAACAGTTATTATCAGAGGAGGAACTAGGGCAAGGAATTAATTAGACAGATACACTGCCAGAACAACAATTAGTGAAAGATCGTATCTGAGCATCTGCAACCAGCTAAACTAGCACAATCTAGGGCAATGTGCACAGAATCAGAACCCAGTGTGTGTGTGGGTCCCTCTCTCCCTCACAACCAGGGAATCGTAGTTGATTGCTTGCTTGCCATCCTTCTCACTGATTGCAGCTCCTGTGCGGACGAAGAAGACGAAGAAGGAGAAGAATCATCAAACATATTTCCTCACTGTTGCTTTCTATAGAACTGTTAAACTACAGTTACTAGAGGGGGTTGATTTTGTTGTGTGGTTCCAATCATGCATTCTCTGCACAGTGCCAAACACTGCTGCCAGGGATCATTCCAGACTTCTCTCTCTCTGTCTGTGTGTGTCTGGGCTATGTGGGTCAAATGAGCGTTTCATTGGAATGTGGTTGATTCTGCTTCAATTATTTCTATTTTGTTGTATGCATTCAAAAGTGACCCATCTGTCATTGTTTTTTGGTACTAGCTTTTACTGTGTGAGTACTAAAATAGTAAGTTCGTTTTTTTGTTATAGTTTTTTGTCTTTTTTGTACAGTTCATAGTTATTTATTAATTTGCAGTTTCTTAGAGACTTTTAATCGTGGCTTTTATAAGATAGATTGCAGAAAGTTTTGGAGGTTGGTATTTCTAGGTGTTTATAGTCCTAGCAAAGTAGTCGATGGTGTTGATTTGTGAGTAAGGTTTTCATTTCATGTTTTGGGTAGATTTTATTATTATTATTATTATATATGCTTGTAAAATTATATATGAATTGAGATTAAGATATTCATGGCAATTGTATTCATTTCAATTAAAACTATGTAACATGAAATAGTTTTATCTTCAAACTTTGTTGATTATTTATATAAAAAGTCTTGTTCACTTATAATTTAGAAACACATCAAACTATAAAAAAATATGTATATAAAAAAAATAGAGTAAAGATGTTTTAAATTTTACAAATGATTTTGTGCTGCTCTAATTAACTTTAACTTATTACTGTTTCAATTTTGACAAGAGGTACGTATTGAATTTAAATATAATCTGCTGAATTAATGCACCTAGAAACTTAGTCTTTTTCTTTTCCTTTTTCATTTTTATTGATAATTTTTGAAATTAATTTTTTATTTGAATAAAATATATCAAAAAATAAAAACACATTTCAGAATAGTGAATATTATATTATCAAAAATTTAAATAATAATAACAAAAAAAATTAAATCCTGGTTATTTGTTTTATACAAGCACTTTAAATAGATCATTTTAATGATAAATAGAAAATATGTATTTTTAATTTTAAATTATAAATTTCATTGTAAATTTCAATATTTCTCCATGAAGAAATAATATATATATATATATATATATATATATATAAGCACATATACACAAACAAATATAATATAAAAGATCAAATTTAATCATTAATAATTCTTAAGAAATATTCAAAAAATACGTGATTAAAACAATATGTTAAAAAATCATTCAAGAACTTAAGCAGTATGTTGTTTTGAAATAAAATATACATCTAAGAGTTTTGGAACCAATACACATCAAAATAATTTAATTAAAATTAAAAAGATTACCAAAATTAATATTTATATCATATTATAGGTAATGTCTATAGATTTTTTTTTAAAATATTAATCTTATATAATTCATTTTTAAAATTATTTATTATAATTTGGTCTATTCAAGGCTTTAAAAAAATTAGTTAATATATATATATATATATATATATATATATAACTTACAAATAATTTTTAATACTTAAATTATTATTATCATAGACTAAATAAAGAATGTAAGCTTGTGATAGATTTAGAGGACCTTTTTATAATAAGATCTTAAAAAATAAAAATACTGATTTTAGATGCTAATAATTGCCAAGGACATGAACCTCCTTTCTAAGGACAAGTTCCACAGAAAGTGGTCATTATCTTTCATGGATCTTCATAATTCTTCATCTTGGTTTTAATGAATGTCATTGATAAAAGACCTCAACCTTCTTTTTTGCATTTGTAAGATTCTTTGCTAGCTCCTGTGTGTATTTGCTAATTTTATATCCATGCCAATGAACAAGATATTTTAACGTATTTTGATGCCGCCTTGAATCTAAGACTTCTTTCACCTCAAACTCTTGATTATTATCCATTTCTTTAAGAGGATGTGGCAATTGTCTTCTTTCTAAGATATTTACCATCCTATACGGCTCAATGAGGGACACATAAAATACAAGGTGGATCTTCACAGTTTCTAGTAGATATAATCGATAAGCAACATGATTAATTTGTTTACAAATAGGAAAAGGTCCCAACCTACAATAGTACAACTTATCTTAAGGACAAGTAGTCTTGATATTGCGATGAAGTAACCATACCTTGTCATTTACATTGAATTGTGGTTGCTCCTTGCAATAGGCATCTACTTTTGTTTTTTGTTATTCTTGAGCTTCCTTTAATTGTATCTTCATTGTTGTATGTAGCTCTAATAAATGATTTGCTAAATCTTTTGCCGCAGGATTATGAACTTTTGAAAAGTCAAAAGTATTAAGTCATGGACGATAATCATAATTGGCAAAAAAGGTGTTTGTTAAGTAGAAGAATGTACTGAGTTATTATATGCAAACTCTGCCAATGGCAAAAGAGTTGACCAATCATTTTGATGATAGTTGATGATATACCTCAAATACTTCTCGAAAACTTGATTCACTTGTTTCATTTGGCCATCAATTTGAGTATGAAAAGTTGAAGAGAACTTTATATCCACTTTTAGAATCTTGAATAGGATTCTTCAAAATCTTGATACAAATTGAGTCTTCTTATTTGATATAATATCCTTTGGCAATCTATAATAGCGATAGATATTGTCAATGAAAAGCTTAAATATTTCTTTACTTAAAATAGATTTTGTACATGGTACAAAATGTGCCATTTTGGTGAATCGATTTATGATTATGAATATAGAGTCATATGAACTTGAACTTGGAAGATCTATAATAAAGTCCATAGAAATAAAAGACTATGGTTATTCAAGTATAGGCAATAGTTAGAAAAGTCCATAAGATTGATGATGAGGAGTTTTTGATCTTGAATAAATGTCACATGACTGAACAAAGTCTTTTACCACCTTCCACATTTGTAGCTATTAAAAATCTTTAGGTATAAGCTCTAAAATCTTATTATATCTAAAATATCATGCTGTTGAAAAATCATGATATGCTTGAAGAACACATAAATGTGCTTCTTCTTTTAGAATATATAGGTATCTTTCAAAATAGAGTAGGTTGCTCTTGAACTCAAACTTTGAAACATTATGAGACTTAGAAGAAAGATTCTTAATATTATGATTAAAAAGATCAGAGAACATACTTGATTGAATTTTTTTGACAAAGGTTGAATCAATAGTCAAAGTTGATTTTATTGCTTGAAGATGAAAATGCTTGGCCTTCAAGAGAATCGTTCTTTGTTGATCAAAAGATACATCTTTTTCTTTTGATGTAAGATAAGAATGTCTAGAAATGACATCTGATAAATTTTGTTTTTTTTTAGATTGATAAGTGAACTTGAAATTGAATTTGAATAAAGACATGCTCCAATGGGCTTGACGACAATTCAAAACACATGCTAATATAAAGTACTCAAGGTTCTTATGATCTGTATACACAGTGGCTGAACTTCAAGCGCTTTTTAGGTAATGATGCCATTCTTGAAATGAATCCATAATTCCAAAGAATTCTTTGACATGGATATCATAATTAATCTTGGCTAGTGAAAATTTCTTGGAATAGAAAGCTACTGAATGGATTTTGTCATCTGTTTCCATTTGTGACAATAAGGCACCTATAGTAAAGTTTGATGCATCTGTTTTTATAGAAAATACCTTA